AATATGATAATCGTGATATTTTATCAATTACATATTTTAAAGATTTTGATCTATGCATGGCAATGCAATATAAAGGGGAATTCTGTACCGATTTTAAAGTCATTGCCTAAAATATATTTTACTTTTTAGTGAAAAGAAAAAAAAATTATATGCACATTTACCATTGAAGTGTCCCCATTGTTATGATTCTGTAAATGGATACTGTCACTCGTAATGAGGATTAAAGCCAAATAAACTCAATTTCTTCAACAAACATTAACTAAAATCTACTGAGGAGTCAAAAAAAACAACCAGGAGGAAAACTCAATATTACAGCATTTTTGAAAATAAATTTTGAAAAACATTTATTTCACTCTATTTTGCAACAACAAAAAATGAAATATTTTTGAGGCACTTTTAAGTCGCATTTAAGAATGATAAAATGTACATTTTTGGTACTGTAAAGGTTACTGACCGAAATTTGATCTGAAGTTTACCGTATTTCTTCCATTAGAAGCACATCTCCAATAAAAAAGTAAATAAACCAAAAAATAGCATTAATTGTATACTGGCTCATTAAAATATGATGTATTTTGACCATAGACACTCACCTGTCATCTACGTAAACACATGTGCTACCAATAGTGCAAATACAGCAGCTGTGTAATGAGTTTTAACAATAAAAAAACACAAAGTTTTCTAATGACATCTATGTTTGCATATTCTCAGAAATGCATAGCTTCAATCTCTCTCCTCTCTAAGCAGGATTGAATTCCCAGCAACCTCCTGAATGCTGCAAAAGGGAGTTCCCAGTTGACATAGAATGCAGGACCTTCAAATCTGCAAATGTCTGGACTCTATGGAAACCAGAATCAACTGCTTGAAACACAACTTCTTTCCTTGATATAGAAAAATTCATAGATGCAGCTAGTCAAATTGAATTGGAAAATGATAAACTTCAGCTGACGTAAAGATCACAACTTTATGACTCGTTGTTTATCATATAGTCTGGAAACAAATGGGCAAGCACAAACAATACCACGTCTGCCGAAGTCCAGTATGATGTATGCGAGGTCAAGGCCGATATATAGGCGTTCTCCATGCTACCTTCCCGCAATTCAAAATCAATGCGATATTCCAGTTCTGTAAAACACAAACAGAAGTATAGTTACATAGTAGTGTTATGTTTGGTAAGCGCCATTTTGTCTGCTTGATCTTATTTCAAATGATACACTTGTACACTCTTCATTATAAACTGACTTAAGTTGGGAGAATGGCAACATTTTGGTTAAATGTAATTTTTTAATTGCTCATCAGATCAAAAAGAAACATCACACAGAGATTTTTTTTTTAATATAGATCGGCTAACTAATTTATCCATCAGATCCTTGTCATGAAAAGTACTAAAATAATTGGCATATTGCGGACGAAAAAGAATAAGAAGCCAAAACTACAAGTGAAAAAAATGACAGGTTCTAAAAATAATATTCATTTTGAGAGCAGAAATAAATCTCTGGAGGGGGTTGAAGAATGGGAAAGCAGAGTGTAATTGCCGAGCTATATCGCTAAATAAAATTTATTCCCATGTTTAATTGAAGGGTCGGCTAACACAAGTTTTGTTGTTTATGATAACCACAGCATATAAAAAGAGAAAACAGCTGCTATTTGATGAGTTGAAATTAAATGTTTCATGCATCGTGTGTGATGGAATTTGTAAACTGACAGTAAAAGCTGTTACAAAAGATAATTTATTCCTAGCTCCAACTATAGAGGGCGCTAACAAAATATTTCCCTGTATTTTTTCTTTTGATTCTGTTGTCATTTTTAAGGTCTAAGTTTGAGGGCGCTAACGTGGAATACATGTAGGAGAACTACCGATAAATGTTTTAAAACAACAAGATTGATATGAAACAAACTTGCTAGTAGTGATTTTAATGAAATACTACATAATTGAGTGGAAAAGAAGACAATATTGAGGTTTTTTACTAAATATTAAATGATGTGTAAACAAAAGAACAGTTTAGACTCCTGATGAGGTTTCTGCAAATTGACGAGAGACGACTTTGATGTTTCGAAAGTACGGCAAATGAAATAAGTAAACACAAACCAGTTAACGATTTCATTAGAGGTTAATCTCATCGTATTCATGCCCACCTTTCCAAAAAAAAAAAAATTTGGAGAAATACAATATTGACCAGGATTTTTTCTTCAAGCTGAGGTTCGTTTAGTATATTTCACTATAAATGTATAAAAAATTGAAATGAGTTATAAATAAAGTAATTTTTTTAATCAATAGAGAAAGAAAAATGCATATCCACCCATCCATTAATAGAAACCCAAATAAGGAAAGAAGACGTATAGCAGCTACTGAAGTATTAGAATTAGAAGAGGAACATTTACTTTAATTTTAATAACCTACACCAGTGAAAGATGAAAGCATGCAGCTAGAATGGATTTACTTGTTGTTTGACAGTTACCTTTGTATAAATGGGCATCCTTGAACACAGAAGCTGGATAAATGGCAATTACCGATATAAAACACAAACATAAAAAGGAGAGAAAACTATGATGACAAATATAAATTGGCTTGACACTTTGCAAGAAAACTGTGATCTATTCTGTGGTCATACTATGAATCTGAGCAGATATACAATGATTTTTATGGAATAAAAAATTGTGAGGAAAGAAGTGGAATGGGTTGACAAGCTTAACAACATTCATAATGTGGTATTTTTTCTCTGCTTCTCAACGCAAAGGTTAGAAACCTACGACAAGAAATACACAATGTTTTTGGGTTTTTTTCCAGGGGACTGCCATGCAACCATTCTGTGAATGACTGTGATTTGACTTGTGTACAGGTTCTCTTAAGTGCAATTGCCAAACCTGTGTATCGTGTATAGAGACTTTGATAGACAAATCATATTCTATATTTAACTGTGTTAAATAATGAATAACAAGTAATTGTATTACACAGTTCTGTGACCTATCAAGTTTAAGAAATATATAAAGTTTGAACATGAACAGTCAGTGCATAGGCAGCATTAGTTAAAACAAAATGACCACCAGTTGGCCATTTTGAATTCTATCAGAAAATTATGTGCATCAAGGTCCCATAATTTGAGATGTTTGTACCAAGATTGATTGAGATTTAGTTCTGGACAAAATGACCATAAGGCCTAATTTTGAGGAATTTTAACCTTTAAAATGTCTGCCATTCAACCATTTTTGTATGCATGACATATGCGTGAAGTTTGAATGTGATTGGTCATGTTGGGGATACAGGTGTAGACGTAAACAGACAGAGGTCAAAACATAAGTCCTAGTTTTCAGACTTCATCTGAAAGAAGACTAATAGTAATATGGAATAAATATTATACATTTTTAATCCATGGCAACATAGAAACATATAGACACAACTTCAGATAAAAAAAGAAACACTGTGTTCTAGCACAATCATCAACCATCACATCAACTTACCAACACTTTCAACACTGACTGGGACTCCCTTCTCAACCACTTCAACCTCATCTTTGGCAGCTATCTCCTTCATACTTTCCAAGACTTGTAACTGCGGATCAGTCTCCACATTCTCAGTCTTTTTGCTCCATTTGCTCCAGAAACCTTAAAACAAAACCAGTTCAATGTTTCAATCCTTTTTCACTGTCATTATTATAATTTACTACTACTATAATTTACTACTACTGTAAAATCTGTATTAGAAGCCGCGGCTTCTATTAAAATGGTACAATGCAACAGAGGGGATGCGGCTTCTAATACAGATTTTACGGTAGTATTACATTTTCTTAGAATATCCTAAAAACATTTTAGTATTAGTAAGCTCAAGTGAATTTGTTTTCTATTTTCAGATTTGTAATTTTAGTCAAAACATTTTAAACATATTTTTCATCAGTAAATATGGTATATAAATACAACTAGATAAGAACTAAGAATAGACAGTAAAATAGACAGTAAAATATATATGGCACAGTGTAAAATGAAGACTTAGAATGAGTTATCAAGTGTGTGAAATGAAATATACACATTAATAATAGTAATCCACTTGAACATCATTATGTACATGTACTTTAAAGCTGATATTGTCAAATAAATTACACAAAATCAATAAATTAACCTGATATAATTCAGAATCAATCAATTGATTAAAACTACTAAACCAATAAGTATGGCCACATTTGATACTCAGCTCAGATGAATTTCAAATCTGTTTCAAATTTTCAATTCGGTGATACATAAATTGTATACTGTAAAATACTTTATTTTCGTTTGGTATTAATTTTTGCTATTTTCGCTGAAGGAATGATTCAGTGAAAATAAAATCCAGTGAATATCCCTTTTTTCCTATATTTTACATTCAACTCAACAAAAATCAGTGAAAATAAATTCCATACAAAACACCTAAAAAGTATTTTCAGCAAAAAAGAATCTAGCTAAAATAAAATATTTTACGGTATACATTTATCACACGATCAAAGGTACGGTAGAGATGATTTACGCTGGTGACCAGAATCAAGTGTTATCAGAGCTTGTACCAGATTTCAATCAAATTGACGGAATCAACTTTAACCTCCCATCTACTCATTACACAATTCAGCTTCAAAATACTGCACATAAAAATAATCAAAATACTACACAAAAAATCAAAATCTAAAGAATGAGCAAAAAAAAAAAAAAGATGACAAGACTGGCATTCTGAAAGAAATTCAATATTTACTGAAGCTTGCTGGGAATAAAAAACAGCCACAGTTAGCATGTATAGTTTAATATAGTTTAAGTTACAGAAAGAGCAGCAACTTGATGCAAAAAAAAAAAGTATGTGATTCAAACACACATAAAAAGAAGGCAAGCTTGCAGATGATGATCACTAACGAGGATAGACACATTTATTTAATCATTGTTTAAATGGTACCTGTCAGCGACTCTGTTATAGAAGACGACAACTCAGACACGGCTGAGAGAGAAGGATAAGATGAGGAGGGCTTTATATCGTCATGGAGACTATGACTAGATGGATTGATGTTAGAGATAACACTACCGAAGCTTGTATTAGTGTCGCTACTACTACAAGATGTGATGCCAGTGATGGCAGAGAAGGAGGAAGAGGATGCAGTTGAATCAGTAGAGTGAAGTGAAGATAGTTCATTCTCAAGCTCTGTATCAGTGTCTCCATCAACAACTACTAGGAAATGGAGGAAGAAATGAGTGGAAGGTGTAACATTCATAAAGTCACTGCAGGCTGTGTTAATTTGAACCCAAGGTGAGATGCATGACTGATTAAATGAGTGAGATGCGAGACCGAGAAACGTCTCATGTTAGATGTGAGACTATTAACATCAACAAAGATGGATTATTATTATTATTATTTTGAGTTTATTAATTTTCTAAAAAAAAAACATGTAAGTGATACAGTGAAACCTCTCTGAAAACATACATTTGTCTATAATGGAAATAATTAAATTCCAACAAAAGCCTAACAAGTGAATTAATAATGACATCAACAGTCACAAAGTCTCAATTTAATTTTATGATTTTTTTTTTCTTTGAAAAAAGTTGAAACTTTATATTTATAATATATTCAAGAGTAATAGATGTGCATTTCAAAACTGTATTTTGATACAACATATTGTAAAAAAAAAACTTGCCACTATATGCACATGTTCCATATATCCCATTCAAGAGGGCATTGTCAACTAACATAAAAATTAAACTAAAATGTAACAAAACTTGTAATTTCTTACTTGATTTTTTGACGTGGACCTTTTTAGGACCAGAGTCAATGATGGTAACATCCTGCATCATGGCAGAGGCACCACTGGAGATCATTTCTTTGGGTTTATCTTTCGCTGACGGGTACGCCATCATCGTCATTTTTGAATATCTCTTCTGTTTCAATGCATCGCTGTTGTTGATCTTCAACGGCATTATGGTCGAGTAGTGTTTTATGAGAAGGGGTTCAATTCTGTAAGCCTAGATTAATAACAAATCATATATCAGAGGTTTATAATATTATGCCATTGATGTCTCTAATATTTATTAGTATAAAGTCACAAATCTAATAATACAATGCACAAACCCAAACATACATTCACATTCCATCATAATATTTTTCAAAAACAACTGACAAAGAACTGTATATTAGTAATTGGAAATAGGGGATGAGTGTTTAGAGGGTCATATTCTATGATTATTGAAATTTTGTAAAGTTAGTATGCATATATAAATATATACACAACTAAATCTATGGCCAATCTGTTTTCATCATTAAATGGGCAACACCAATCAAAAGAAGACAGACTTGCTGTCACAATATAGTTGATGAGTTGACAGTGAGTAGCAATCCCTGATAGTTCAATATTGTGCAGTGTTCTTATCTGTGGTATGTATACAGGCAACATAGAGCCAAAGACTGAATGAATGGTTCATTTTCTGGGTGCAGAATATGCCATATGGAACTCGTATTGAACACGGGGTGGTGTGACGACTGGGACGCTTTATTCTGATTTAAAAGTATACAAACCATCTACCCCTTTGTATCTAAAAGTTTATTCAGTGAATCATTAAAAGAACTACAGTCATCACGCAGCTTGTATTTGAATTACCTGACAAGCAAATAATGTATTTTACATGTGTTGCACATGTCACTATGAGTTCTATATCAAACAAAATGCGGTGCGATCACTATAGCGCATTTGTGATGTTTTGGGGACTACTTTATTGCATGCATCAGAATACATACTTTTGTAATGGTGTTATATGTCACCTGATCACCCAAGTGTATAGATATGTTAAAAAAAGTAGTGCCGGTAGAATAAACAAGAAGTTAAACTCTCTGGTTTCTTTGATGTTTTGTGTTTTCCCCGAGTCAACACATCACAGTATTAATGATACTGGCTTAAATACCGGGTATTAGCTTAACTGTGAAACTGATAGCACTCTTTACAATTAACCAAAAGAATTAGGTGTACTGTCACTCACCACTGGATCTGCTGGATGGTAGATATTGAAAAGTCTTTTACACTGAGATTTTGGTAGTATCATGTCTTGTTTGCCTTTGCCATGTGGACGTACACCTCTCATTACCAAGAACACAGCCAGAGGTGAACCAAGACAAAACATGTTATCAACCTGCATTTTAATAGTGAAAATAATGTTGAGGCAGTTAGAGCCCAATTAAAATATTGCTCTACTGAGCAAATTACTCTACATATATGCAATGCATTATGGGAATGAACATCCTATTGTATATAATGGAAAATTATTATCACTTTGAAACTGGAGAAGATTAAATTAATGCAATATTTTTGGAAATGTATCACATGTAACAATATAGGAGTTCTTATAATAATAATACTTTTACATCCATGTCTAAGAAACATGTATGATGAAATAAATTCACCAGTGACAAAAATTCAGACACTTGTTTATACAAAAATTGCATTAAAACTATAATAATGATAGCAATAAGAAAATGACATATAATCTTGAAGAAAGAATGACAGTGTATTAAAATAAAGCAGATGCAAAATTTCCTGAAATGTCAACTTTAGAAAACAACAAATTTCAATATTTCTCAAACGGGCCATCCTTGATCCAAACTTGAGTCTTTTCATACTTCGTCTATATTTATAGTACCGGTACATATAATTATGTAGAAGACAGAGGTGCTGTGTATCCATGGTCTACACAATGATGCAGCATATATAATATAATGGCCCCCTTCCTTATTTTTTCATAAAATTGTCATCATTTTGGGACCTACCCGTAACACTATGTGATGCGGTTGGGGTTTAAATTTAAACAGTGGGGAGTGCACCTACAAAACAAATACCTGAATTTTTTAGTATTTTAAGTAAATTATGTACATACATTTATCTGAGGTAGGAACAGAAAATGTTGTACTGTATCGTTAATTGAATTACTAAATTAGGTCAAAAGGTCTACCTTTTTGCAGATTTTGTATCATAAACATCATGTGCCTAAAATGGCCGCCACTTGGCAAACTTCATGCAGTAATGCGCATCAAAGAGGGCAAGTTCAAAACAAACAATACATGTATCCTAGTGGAAGATATTTCATTATAGAGTACACCAAATGCTTGGTGCTATAAGATCACATTTCAATGAAAATTTAGTGAATATCACTCATCACCATACCGTAACCACAATCAATTTATAACTCTTCTTCCTCCTCTACCAGGAGAATATTATAATGTACTTACTTTAAAATTCAAAGTTGGCATTCTGGTGACAGCAGCTACTTGATTTGTGCTTAATAACTGGCTTTCCAATTCACCCACTCTGTAAAGGGTAACAAAAAAAAAACATTGCATTTTATCTGGGGTTGAGTAATTTGGACAGAATTAAAAAATTAAAATGTATCGGTACTTCAAAGTAAATTACTGATAGTCATTAGAACATACAAACAATAAAAATAAAATTGTAGGGTCACCATTTTAAATTGAGAATGTAATGTTCAAATTTTAGTGAGAAATGGTTATTAAAGTCTTTGTTTTGGCATTATTAGTTTCTATGGTAATTCATTAAAAGCATAAAATGTTTTCCAAGGCATGGACTGAAAATGTTGTATTTGCTTTCTTAGAAGCGCATATCCCATAGAAATGTACATATTAATTAAAACCCAAAAATTACAATTATTGTATGCTTTGTCATAACAATGTGACTTGTTTTGACATGCCTCTGCCATTCAAGGAAAGTGCAAATACATATTTAATTTGCTGATAATATTATTATTTCAGCCAAACACATGTAATAAAAAAAAATACTTATTCACCGCTTCAAATTAACCAATCAATTTCTAACAAAAATCATCATGTTTCACATTAAGACACAATTGACCAGGGTAGAAGATATAAATGTAATGAATACACAGTGTTCAGATTTCCCAATTTTTGAGTAGACTAGCTGCTTTTATTGATAATTACCCTCTTCTCCCCATTACCATAAAAAAAAACTAGCCTACTGACACAATGCATGTACAAGTATTCAATCAAATGAGTAATTGACAAAATGTCAGAGTTGAGCATGTAGAGCAGAGATAGTGAAAGATAAAAAAAAATCACACACACATATAAATATATATATACATACAATGATGCAGTAGGAATGAGGAAACAGACAATGAGTCAACACTACGTTTATATACCTGCTGAGATTTCATTAGTCTCTCAGGATTTAAACTGGGATTTTTTTATTCATAGCAACAACTTATTTATAACTTGATACCCTATAGACTATTATTGGATAGAATGACTCAGGTATACATATATATTGAAGCGAATGAAGTCTAATGTTTATACGATAAATCTGCTTTTACGAATTACATTACAGTATTAGTGTCAACGACCATTCCTGGGGCAGGAGATGTTTGAGACATTGAGAAAAATAAACCATATATCACATCTTGTTTTCATTTTTTTGCAGAATTTATTGTACATTAAATAAATAAATACAACAGGAATATAAAATTTTAATTACATGTAGTATTATTACAATAATATTTTACATATTTTTTCATAATTATTCAAATGCCTATTTGCAAAGGAACTATTATTAGCATTTTCACAGTCAATGTTGAATTTTAAAACATCAACAAATATTGCAAAAAAAATAATTATTAGAATGTTGGTGATATGTAAATGAGAGATATATTTGGAAAAGAATAGAGCTCCGCTCCAGAAATGACAACTCAATGGTAGGTACATCTAAAACGCATGAATAATTTATTTGTGAACACATCATAGGCACTCCATAGGCACACAACTATAATGCACATGGGCAAATCATATCAAACAAGTCATTGTCAATGACACGTCCCCGTACCGTTCATATTTGAGTGACATAAACATTCAAAGCAGATCATGACCGAAATCTCAGACCACTTTCAGTGGTCTGATCCGAAATGCACCTGCATATGTACAACACATTGTATGATGTGTGTGAAGTGTGGTCTTGATCAGTCCAGGCATGTCCGAGATATGGATAAAAAACTAAACTCTTTAAAACAAAATGGACACGATGTCGGCCATTTTGAAATTGATCTGAAGAAAAATTGGTGTGCATCAAGCTTCTATTATGTTTAATATATGCACTAAATCTGAACAAAATCCGTCCATGCATGACTGAGATCCGGTTCCGGAATTGTGAAAATACGTGATTTTGATGCATTTTCGGCCTTAAAATGGCCATCATTCAGCTATTGTTAAGCGAATCATGAAACAAATGCACATATCTATTTGTGACATGATGTACCATGTGTGTGTGAAGTTTGAACTTGATCAATCCAGACATGTCTCGGATACGGATCCAGAAGTGAATTCTTTAAAACAAAATGGCCGCCAGTCGGCCATTTCGAACTTGATTCGAAAAAAAAAAATGACGTGCATCAAGGTCCTATTATGTTTAATGTATGTACCAAATTTTAACAAAATCCGTCCATGCATAACTGAGATCCGGGTCCGGAATGGTGAAAATGTGTGATTTCAATGCATTTTCGGCCTTAAAGCGGCCGTCATTTGGTTATCGTTAATGAGATCATGAAACAAATGTACAAACATATTTGTGACATGATGTACCTTATGTGTGTGAAGTTTGAACTCGATCAATCCAGACAAGTCTCAGATACGGATCCAGAACTGAATTCTTTAAAACAAAATGGCAGCCAGTCGGCCATTTCAAACACGATCCAAAAAAAAAAAATGACGTGCATCAAGGTCCTATTATGTTTAATGTATGTACCAAATTTGAACAAAATCCGTCCATGCGTAACTGAGATCCGGGTCCGGAATGGTGACAATGTGCGATTTTGATGCATTTTCGGCCTTGAAATGGCTGCTATTCGGCTATCATTAATCGAATCATGAAAAAAATGCATGTGCATGTGTGATGTATGAGTGAAATTTGAACAATTTGACCAAACTGTTACTATGATACAAAATATAGTTCATCAATATTCACAAATAGTGTTAGATATTCATTGACAAGCGAATACACAGTATGCATGCATTAAATTCAAAAACAAATTACTATCATGATACAAACTGATAATTAGTATTTGGCCAAACTGCTATATAAGAATACTAAAACAAAAAACATTTCCAAAATACAGTTTCATTGTTATGCAAATTAGCTAATTAAAATGTACCTATTGATTCCAAACAATTATCAGTCATGCAACCACGCAGACAGAACACATGTACCAAGTTTCAACTAATTTGAGCAAAATGTTTGGATATTAACAATACATGCTGAAAGATTTTAAATGGTATGCAAATATCCTAATTATTATGCATGAATTTATACCAAAATCTGATTAAAATCAGCCCACACATCACAAAAAGTTAAAAAAAGTTGATAAAAATGATTGGACACATATCACCATATCAAGTGTGTTGGTTAAAAAAGAACCACATACCTCTCTCGGACACGACTCAACTCCCGGGCAAGCTCCTCGTGTTCTTTATCTACCGTATCTAAATCGGGATGCGCAGCATGTTCATGTATCAAGTACTGGTCGTATAAGTGTATCGGATTCCATCCTGTCAAAATATCATACACGATCACGGCACCCAGCGAATGTGATATAACTGACACACGCCCATCATTTGCTTCAAACCCTTCATTTCGCTCACAGAACATTTTATACAACCTGTTGAGCTCCCTCTGTAAACCTCTCACAATCTAAAAAGGAAATTATTTCAATAATGAGTTTTGTGTGGATAGCATTGTTAACTGTAAAGCAGTGTCAGTTTGTTTGAAGCTGTGTTTTGTCTTGTTAGTATTTCCTAGTATTCGCAATCTACCGAGGTAATCTAAGAATGCTGGAATTTACCTACCATACACATCTGACTTAGCGCCCAGGGTACTTAGCTCTAAAAATCACGTGTTTTAGAAGCATGGGTGTTTAGCCAAGCAGACCCCCCAATTTTAGTTCACCATGTGCCAGATTGAGAAAAATCGTACCTCCATTTGGGAAAAACAAAATTGAAAAATTAGTTGTTGCCGTCATTGATTTCACACTTTTACAATGAAGAAACAGAAATGGTTACAAAAAATATGCATGTTTTATTGTAATAAGCATTATATACCACCTGAATTTACGATGTTTTTAGGGTTTGTGGCAACACAGTCAAAGTCAACATCCTCATCATTGTTGAATGTGCTTGATCATATGCAAACTCTTGGACAGGTATGGTATCAAATGCGATGAACAAGGAATCAATATTAAAGAAAATACGTGGTTACAACCACTCTGAGAAACTGGTTGTCCACATGAAAATATAGTTGCTCTACAAAGCTTTTGTGTTAAATCCCCTTAAATGTTAGCTATTTTAAAATTTTAGATTTGGTTTCATGAAGACAAACATGCTTGATAGGGACAACTGACAATCTGACTTCTATGAACTTCACTGCAGCAATTTCCGATCATCAAAACCCCATGTACCAGTATTTCATATACCAGTGTCAAACTGACTATTAAAAATCAGAATAGTTAAGTAAAGGGAGACTCGATTGGCTGCATAGTATTATAATTACCGGTACATAAATAACTCACAATGTAATGCTATATGTAGCACATGTGTGATTCAGATGCACACTGTGTGACAACCACTGCACTTTAAATACAACACATTACTACATGACAGACAGTGCAGGGGAATCACATACCTCAGATCTAAATAAAGGACTGGTATAATACATGATGTCCATTGCACTTGAATTCAGCACACTACGAAGTCCTCGTAATCTGTGCGGCGTGACACAGTCGACCATATCACCGTCCAATTTGAGTACTGATCTCCATTCGACTGGGAGGAATTCAACTCTCTTAGTTGACGTGGCACTTGCAAGACTAGGAAAATGCTTGGCGACCATTTTCTGTGTTGTTGTCCTTAAACTGTGAAAAGGGTCGACAAAGAAAAACAAATTAGGTAATTGATGTGTACAGATTCAATATTTCAATGTATCAAATATATGAGATATTGATCATACGAGAGGTAACACATACATAAGATTATGTGTAATGATTTTGACTTGATTTGATTTGAATCTACCGTAATCATGTGTGATGAAATTGATGTATGCAATCTCTCACCTACAATGAGAGCCAACAAATAAGACAAATTCAGAAATGCACTCCACACAAACAATAGGTATTATTTTTTACCCCACAGTATTTCAAAGAGACTTTTAACTATTAGTAGCTGCAGACTTACTCAGTACAACTTTTAATGATACAACTAGAATCCATTTTTTGTCCTATACCATGAATGACAAATACAAGATGAGATATAGGTGGTGGCTTGTCATCAAGTGCTGCCTCTAGACAGTAACCACGATGCAATCTAGTACCACTGGAAGACGCTACAGGAGAGAAATTAAAATAATATTTTTTAGTCAGAATTAAAAAATGATAGAAGTTGTTACAACAGAACAAATGAAGTGAGTATTCAGCTGTTGAGTTACTTCCACTGAGCAACTGTAATAACTGATGAATCAGTTGGCTGTTACGCAAAGTGGCACTAGAATACGCCTACTGACCAACATCATCTGGAAATCTGACCAAACAGATACTACCACATCTTCAAATAATTGTGTTTTCAGCTAGTTGAGTAGCAGAACAGTCAAATATATATACAAATGCTTTGGTGTTGGCTTGGATAATTAAGGAAGGTAGTATTTATGATTCCTCACCACCAAGTGTACCACCAGGACAATAGATGTTAATATTGCAGGAACCTGACAATCCAACTACGACTGCTAATCAAAGTGCAACATTACACTTATTCCCCCCCCCCCCAAAAAAAAATGTTGAACTTTCTGAGACTCGTAGTAACAAATTAACCAGTAACAAAAAACCAAACTGTTACTTTGACAATACTGAGCAAAATAATTTTAAAAATGTAGACAAACTGACAGAAAAGAGACCCCACATACAAATCATCAAGCACCTTTGACTATTTTCAGAGAACACTGGGAACAGTATATGTCTGAGTTTTATAACTGTTACAGTATTATTTTGCATTACAAATAACTATGCCTAAACACTTTAATAGTTTAGCAAGGAAGTGAAAGTGATTTGCATACCTTTTGACAAACCAATGCTTGTTCCAATCGACCTAGCTAGCTTGGAGCTGGTTTTGTCGCTATAAAAGTAGATTTCAGTCAAACTGTTCCAATCTACATGGCTGTCCTTGAACCTTATGTTATGTAAAACTGTAAAACAAAGATGAGATCGATGGTAAGCAATCACAGAGATATGCAAATTATTAACCCCTTGAATGCCATCTTTTTATCCACCAAAATGTTAAAGCAATATTTTCCATACTTTTCTGTATATTTCTTAATTTTGAAGCAAATGGACATTAAAATCTCATTTGCTACAGCTAGCTCTTGATAGAAGATAAACAAAATTGGAAAACAAAATATACAAATACTAGTAATTGTGCAAGTTTTTTTTTTTTGGGGGGGGGGGGCGAACAAAGTTAATTCTGGCATTCAAATGGTCATCCACTATATGTATTGGAAACTGAGGATGGAAAATAAATAAATAAAAGCAATTGTTATAAGTAACACATATATACCAAAGTGACTTTTATTTAGCAGAAGTTTATTTACTTGTAAGCCACAACAGCAGAGCATTCGATAAAACAGCATCATTTCTGTCTATACCTTAGTACTGAGGAATTCACAAAATCTTATGATGGGAAATTTCAGTCGGGAGCCCACCATAAAATTTATAATACAAGGTATTATATCCTTTAAAGATTATACATATAAATTGAGGGAAAAAAGTAATTTTGCTAAACAGGTCAGATTATGCTAACAGGATAGGCCAATACATTGGCACATGTATACATTTTAATGGACAACACACACCTTATTTCTTAGCATGTGAATAAACACTATTGAATGTAACAGAAAAAATATCGTCCACACATTTTAGCTCTGGTCAATTTAATTTAATTTATAATTACACTTAGCAGTCTTAATGACAACAAATCATCAACATATACAAAGCAAATTCAGTCTTAACTTTATCCATAGCCTGATGCTAAAAAAATGATTCACATTTAACTGTAACAAAATATGGAAAAAAAGTAAAATGAAAGCAATGATGCTTACAATACACAATTCACGCTGCGTATAAAATTGCTATTTTGTAATATTGTTATCAGTGCTTGGTAAGCAGATGAGAAACATGCCTGCAATGTATACATGTATTTTGCTATTTTTTTTCAGTCTATAACATACCTCTTCTCTGTATGAAAAATGCCACTACGTCATGAAGAGGAAAGAAAAATATAATTATTGTAGGCGGTCTCCAAGGAGACGCAAAGATAATGGGATATGATTAAACCGTTAATCTTAGTCGCATTGGGATGTTAGGTCATAGTTTATCAGTTTTATTGCCCGATATAACATTTTAGTCTGAACAAATTTAAATAATGTAATATGCACACTGCCGAAATAAAAAATATCACATTGAATATTGAACATTAGAAAGAAATACTACTACATTACTATCAACACAGTTGAAACGCCTCATATAAAAAGGGTTGCGGTCGACTACAAAATAGGTTAATGACCTATTAAATACAGCTCCATCGAGTTGGCTGAGGAGTCTCTTCTATGTGAGATAGTGCAGGAGCCACATGGAAACTCACTATCAAGAATATATTTCTATTCAAAACCCAATAAGGCACTGTGGGGAATGCATTCTAGTTATTATGATATATCATCAGCATATGCTAGATGATTAATCTGTGGTGATAACACTTATTTTAGACTATTATTTGACCAAAACTTGACTGGTGTGTCGCCTGGTGCATTATTGTAGAAAGCTGTGGCATGGAACATAAAAATCACATGTTAGTGTTTTACACAGAAAACACACTTCGGTTAATCCTAACCCTTATCAGCACCCTGTGTACTTTTACATTGACTTGACCAAATGAAGTTGATAAAAACTTCTTGTTTAAAGTGCTTTGTGTTAACATGCATTTATTTTCCGTCACAAACCTCGAAACACTGAAAATATTGCATGGTTTTTCATTACTAAATATTTTGATAATGTATACATGCAGCAATTGAGTTTACACAATGTTCAAATATGGGCAATAGTACATTATATTATACATACATTGATATATCATGGGCTCATTAGTACTATAGATTATTTTCAAAATATTTAGTAGCCTGAATTAAGGTAGAAGAAAAAGTTGGGAACCAAAATTTGTTTTAACATGGTTTCCAGTCATTCACACTAATTTCCATAGTAAAATGGGCAGACACAATTAATGTATGCGACATGTTTATAATCTTACTATAACTCAGACAAATACTTTATAGTAACCAGTATTACCAGTATTATTAAACATCTGTCACCATAACGCCATAAGTTACAGCATGCCGTAATTTTGCGGTATTTTACAGGGTATTTTATCCTACCATATAAGAAAATGCAAATTCCAAATATGGAATGATTACGCGCATAAGCATCGTCTAATAATAAAAACAAACATGGCTGCCACAAAGGTTTGACCGGACTCCACACAAAGCAGTTCTTTTTGGATTTTGGCATTCCCATGATGTATCCTTGGAAGAAAAAGATGTATAATAATAAGGTTATTTAATAGGGGGATACCTCAAAGTATGCACTCAGACAGTACGCCATTTCATCGACCTCCGATGCACGTCGGTCGATACATCTGCTGTACTGTCTTCATGAATACTTTGAGGTATCTTTGTAATAACCTCATATTATTATACATGTTGGGTTACAAGGGTGAACCTAAATACTGCCATAGAATGTTCACATGATGTGATCTATATTTAGATACATCCATAGTATGCACAGAAATTATCATAAAACATATAACCAGTTTATATATACGCATCCTAGATTATTGTGATTGGGTGTATATACATGTATACAGTTCAATCACTGTAAACATTCAAATCTCTATACTGGGGATCCGAGTGTAGCAAGCAATTGTCATTACAGGCTCTCAAATAATACTGTACTGTAAAATATTTCATTTTCGCTTGGAATTAATTTTCACTATTTTCGCTGAAGGAATGATCCAGTGAAAATAAAATCCAGCGAATATACCGTTTTTCCTATATTTTACATTCAACTGGTCAAAAATCAGTGAAAACACCCAAAAAGTTATTTCAGCCAAAATTTATTCCAGCTAAAATAAAGTATTTTACAGTACATGTATACAGTCTCATCCACTTTACAGACTGAATATTTACGGTACTTGAATACTGTTTGAAAAAACAGAAATTTGATTGTATTATTGTAAATAATTAATTTACTTTACTTTCAATAATTTATTTCTCTACACATACTTGTGTACATACAGTCTTTGATACAATATTATTGTGTTTCAAATGTTGACACAATGAATAGTTAGTTAAGCAGGACACTTACTAGGTACTTTTCCTTTGATGTTTAACGTTTCTGGAGGTTCATTTTTGTTTTGGCCACGGAACTTCTCAAGATGAGACTCCTCTAATTCTTCTGCCATTGATTCATCAATGGGTTGCCAGGTTCCATCAACGAACCAAGTACCTCGCATTACATCAACTGCCTCAGCTGTTAAAATAAAAAGTGAATATTATAGTATTGAGTTGTAGTAAAAAAAAAATTTCTTTTTATTCATCTGAAAATATTTGTTGTTCATCCATAAAAACTAATTTGTAGTGTAGATCTTGCTACCAATAAAACAATAACTACAACAACAAAAAAGCCATCAAAGATGGTAGATCCGCCAGCATCTTTAAATAGTGCTCCAGATATATATATATGCAATTAAATAGTTTGTTCCGATCATGAGCTCAATGTCTTCATTAAAGCACTGGTTGAAAGTTTACTTGCAATAATGCCCCAGATATGATATTTATGCATTTTAATGAGGTCAAATGACCATATACGGTTATTAAATATGTTGATCAGATTATGAACTGATTGCCTTCAATAAATCACTAGTTGAATGTCTTTATCTGCAATAATGTTTCAGATATAGTATTTATGAATTGTTAATGAGCTCACATGACCAGATATAGTTATTAAATATGTTGATCAGTTTCCTCAATCCCAGCATTGTGGGCAGAAATGCACTATAGGAGAACATTTGTACATCCAACAGGAGTAAAGAAAAATAAATTAGGAAAATAGGCGATACCTGTTATGTAATTTTGCAACCCATATTTAAATTAAATATCTTTAAATAGATGACATACTGTGGAATACTTTATTTTTGCTTGGAATTTATTTTCGCTATTTTCACTGAAGGGATAAATCCGTGAAAATAAAATCCAGCGAATATACTTTTTTTCCTATATTTCACGTTAAACTCATCAAAAATCAGTGAAAATAAATTCCATACAAAACACCCAAAAAGTCTTTTCAGCGAAAATTAATTCCAGCGAAAATAAAGTATTTCACAGTATATAGCATAATATGATGTGCTGTGATAATATGGTGTGCTGTGATGTGACCTTCATAAGGTCTATGGTTGCAACAGAACATAATATATAAGGAGAATAATCAGATATTAACAGTAGTGTTTTTTTGTGACAAATAAAAGAAGCAGTATTGTAGGCAATGTAGGCATTGAAGCACATAATTGCCCTAACAAATTATCTTATGTGAGTATAATTATTAACATTTTAACAGGACTGTATGAATTATGCATTACATGTTCATCATAGAAACTAATAATTATATATCAACGAGTGGAGAGATGAAGTGACAGAATTTATGGTTCTTTATCAGTTAATTAATCTAAAGAGCAAATAAATTTTAAAATATAGTAATTTAATTAACGGCCTGAAAATAATATAGAATAATAATGCTAATAATAACAAGTGAGCAGAAAGTACTCCTTTGTTTCACTGGCGAGTTGACAGATAACCAAAAATTAGGTGAACATGGCCTTTATGCTTTGACCTTCTTAGAAATTTGTAGCCCGATCACATATTTTTAGTTCTTCATCGTTTTGTTAAACAACAAGCATACAACTAGATGATATATGCACTTAATTTATACAACGTAATATATAGTTACATAAGAAAATTGATATCCCACGTTACCTGGATATTATTACATAATCATTTAATGAATGACACAGTAATTTGATGAAATAAATACATCAAAGACAGCATTATGTTATTCTGGGAATTACTACTGATAGTGACAGTAATACTACAGACAGACAGACAAACATTAATTATCTTCTTTCATCATAATAATAACTACGGTAGGTTTGTTATACCTAATACTGAATAATTAATTTTTATTGTTCATTACAACTCTCTTAAAAGATTATATAATGCACAGAATTTTTCAAAAGGCAATATAATTATAGTACAGTTTCACACTATTATGTGCTGGCTCTGAATGACCTTTTTATTTCATGTGCAACAATAGTTATATAAATAAGAAATGAAATAGATATGTAATGATAATGGCCGACTAGAGTGAAGGAGCCAAGATCAAATTCCTCTACTGTGTAATTATTAATGTCAAGGGTTGAATACACTATTCTTTAATGCTTATTGCTTTTTGCAACATATCAGTCAATCATTAGTAAAGAAATTTGATACTAATGCTATTACACTTTACTAAATAAATTGTAAGTAAAATGGGAATGAACTCTTTATTATAAATGATTCCACCAATCTGGTTGTGCTAAGGGCAATGATGATGATGATGATTTTATTAATAATATAATTTTATTAATTTTTTTTGTGAACGAGGAGCATGTACATACTGTGAATGGTTAAACATGAGCAATCAACCTAAGATATAAATTTAACAGTTTTTTTTTTTTTTTTTTTTTTTTTTTTTGGGGGGGGGGTCTAAAACAGCAATTACAAATCAAAGAAAACTTCATTGACTGTATTGACTATATTTTCTAATATCATAAAGCACATCATAAAGCAAAAAATTGCATCTATGGCATGCAAAATCACTGAAATATGTCTTAATTACAAGCAGTGGTCAGGGTGGTTCCAATCAACTGTGGTATAACAATACTATCTATGAATTTTGATATCTGTTAGAGAGTTCCTGAGAAAAAGGTGAAGTGGCTTAAGATTTGCTAATTAATATACAAATTAGGTCATTGATATGCAAGATCTTCCACTAAAAACTAATCAGGTCTACACATTATTCCAGAACATCTATGTACCAAGTTCCATTAAAATTTGTTCAATGGTACTTGAGAAACAAGTGAAAATATATTAAATTGGTTAATATGCAAATTAGGTCATTAATATGCATACATGTATGGGTCTCAACCACAAACTAATACTTATCTGAAAGCATCTATGTACCAAGTTTCATTGAATTCTGATTATAAGATCCGGAGATATCAGTGGAACAGATACAAATCTACATACATAAATACATACACAAATACATACACCTGACGCAGTAACTGCAAACACTCGCATTACAGAAGTCAAAGATTACACAATAGACAATTTATGGATTTCAGGTTTGCTTGATATTTTGGGTCCCGCAACTTGAAAACTTGTGAATTTGCACCAATTGACAACAACTCTTTTCTGAATTTTTCACTACAAATCAAACATTTACTTGCCAATGAGTGGCGTGTACTACAAAATAAACATGGTAGATGTGATTATATCCTGCAAACCTTGACAAATATTGAAATATTCCATTTGCATTACAGCAAGTCTCAGAAGTATTGGGGCAGCCAATTTGCAAACTCGCAAGCGAATTGGCTAACTGCTTAGGTTTTGACTAAACAGTTGGCTTTCGAATCTCACTGGCGCCAACTCATGGCTGCGTCCACGCTGGGCGAGTCTAAGTTGCATTAAGGGACTCACTGGTAGAATGCTTTTACGTAGCCTGGTAGGTACATGTCTAGATTCCCTTGAATGATTTGCTTTGTTAGAGGCGTGATAATGTAAAAATAGTTTTCCTGGTAAGCCTAGGAATGGCCACAGTCAGCTGGCGTAAAGCGATAATATGATAAATGCGATTAATCTGCTGATATTTACTATATGGGGGTAGCCATCTTGAACACTACTTGAAACTACAGAGACAAGTTGAGAAAAACTTTCCTACAAATCAGGAAGGAAATGAAAAACTTTCACATCTAAATAATTCGTCGGGTAACATTAGCCACCCACTAAAAAATTGACCTCATTCATCGTTTTTGCATGGTCAATCCCTTGTATACGAATACCTCATTAAATATAGAACACTTTCCCTAGTATATTTGAAATTGAAATAGTCATCCAACTGTGGCTGATTAGCTCCAAAAGTATGACGATCGTCCCCTGCTGTTACCGGTATATACAATCGCCCAGAGTGGGCGTGACCACAAGATGGTGCCAGCGAGATTCAAAAGCCAACTGTTTAGTTAAAATCCAAGCAGTTAGCCAATTCGCTAGCGAGTTTGCAAATTGGCTGCCCCAATACTTCTGAGACTTGCTGTATTTAATAGTGAAACAGTGGCTACGAATAAGCTACGGGTTATGTGAAGCATAAACTATCTTATGCAGAAAGAAGACATTTTAGATTTCCCACCACACTCACTAAACATAATATGAACAATTTAATATTCATAAAAATTTTGTGATGGTATTTTAGACTTTATTATAAAACATTTTTGATGGTATAAGTAAGTGTGAATCTTGGGATATATCTGTCCTGAAAGCACACCAGAGATTATTTTGTTGATCAATCCCAGCAGGTTACTGAACTTACATGCAGATAAGCTGGTCTCTGTGTTGAAGCATAAATTAAGTCAGCTGGTCGTCTGCATTTCTCATTGTACCAGTCAATCTCTCCAACTTGAACGCACATTTTGCACTGTACAGATGTGAGTGGATTTACAATTTCCATTCTACTGCGTCTTGCAGTAGAGTGAATCTCCCATGCGTTTCCCAAAATTTATGAATAATTCATACCATCAATATGACGTTATATAATATTGTACCAAAACAACAACAAATCATTTTAGACTGCAACTTACCTTCCCAGTAAATTGGGTAGCATTTTTTGGTTACAACATCAACTTCATAAAGACCACCTCTGACAATTATCATTTCAATAGTATCATGAGTCTTTGTGTTGTGGAAGTGTATTTCTCGATATTTCCATTCGACTCGCAGGGAGTCGTAACCTATGAAGTGAGTCCATTTTCTATCTTCCTTGTTTTCTCTGTAGAACCACCGAACTTCCCGGGCGTTTAGGTCTTGTATAATATCCGGTGCCTGTACCTGTGTGGACTGTTCTCTTCGTTTAGGCTGGTCATATTCAAAATGTTCCTGTTCACCGCCCGTGAGGGGATCTCCCTCAACGGCATTTGAATGTTCAACTTTCTTCTCGCAGACGCATTCGTCGTCGTCTTTTTTTGTAATAGTTTCTCCGCCGTCGTCAGAATCATCAGAAATTACGATGACACTGTCGTCTGTACTGTCGTCGTTTGTAGACTGTACTGTGTCAGTACCCTCCGTAATGTTGTCAATAGGCGGAGGATCGTTATCTACAGGGGTAACATCATCGTCATCATCATTTTCATCATGAATTAGTTCATACACTTCGTCGTCCCCACTTCGGCTCGTACTCGAGACGTCCATCGACTCGTCTTCTTCGCCGTTAGGTTCGTCATCATCGTCGTCGAGGTTTAGCGCCTGGTATCCTGATGCTAGATATGTCATGTTTGCATTCATTCATTTATATTCCTATTTCGCCATTCCCCAGAAACGTACACTTCGGTATCACACCCATAACACCTGCGTGAAAATAACAGCAAATGATTCCGTCACATAATCGACATTCACGTGAACTCTGACCAACATCCAAATCACGCAATTCACGAGACTTATAAATATATTTAAAATATCTAAAAGACTTATATAGTTTTAGATGCGAAAATATTATCAAAGTACATAATAATAAGAATCAATGTTTAAAAATATCTTGTTCATAATATAGTATAAATTATGACGTGTCAAATGCATGAGTGGCAAATATATGTTGCAGACGCCGGGGTGAGACTTAAACGCGACTGGCTTGGAGCATGCGCACTTTACCTGTACCTTGCGTGTGCTGTAACTTTGGCTTTGGAAATCAGCTGGGTTTCTATGGTGTACGTGTGCGCTTCGTATATGTGAATCACTTGTGCTTCAACTACATCAATCCAATGAATCTATGATATTTCACGGTAAGTACAAGTTTTGTTATTGAATTGAACCGTGAAGTTGTGTTAATTTGCGAATGATGATGAAAGAACGTCTTCTTCTTACACATGACTTCAGAACCTCTCACTACCGGCGTGGACCTACAAACCCCAGGATGAACCATAGACCCTCTAACAGAGGGTCTATGGATGAACAGATTTCTTTCATTCTTTGTTAAAACGAGTGTCTATGGTATTTACTCAGTATATAAGATTAACCATGGAGCTAGCTCCATGGATTAACTAACTCACATTGGATTACGCTGTTTATGTTGACATTTACTATTTGCATTAGAATAGAATAGAATAGAATATTGCTTTATTACAACGTTAAAGAAAATTTGACACAGAAGGGAATAAAGCTAAAAACTACTGTTAATATTATGAACACTGCAGTATATTACAGTCCCTGTATCAGGAACTGCGAGTATATCCAGATGTGCCGTATCTATGTGTTAATTTGAAATATCCTGACAACACATCTATGGTCTAATCAAGTTGTATCATTGCAAGAAAATTACAGCAAGTCTCAGAAGTATTGGGGCAGCCAATTTGCAAATTCGCTAGCGAATTGGCTAACAGTTTGCTTTCAAATCTCGCTGGCGCCGACTCATGGTCGTGTCCACTCTGGGCGAGTATATATTGCATTAGGGAACATGGAATGCTTTCACGTAGCCTGGTACGTGGTCTGGATTCCCCTGAAAGATTTGCTTTGCGAGGCGTGATAATGTGAAAGTAGTTTCCCTGGTCAGCCTGAGAGTGGCCATATTTACTATATGGAGGTAGCCATCCTGAACACTGATTGAAACTAAATAAAGAGACAATTAGAGAAACAGTTGCCTACAAAATCAGGGAAAAAATAAATATTCACATTCATACGATTCGTTGAGGTTGGGGTAACATTAAACCAACCGCTAATAAAATTCGCTAATAAAATTTTGCGTGGACAATCCCTGTATACGAACACCTCATTACACGAAGAAAATAGAACACTTTCCCTAGTATATTTGCAAGCGAAATCACCATCCAACTAAAGTATGATGGCCCCTACTGTTATATAGATTCACCCAGAGTGGGCTTGACCACAGGACAGCGCCAGCGAGATTCGAAAGCCAACCGTTCAGTCAAAACTAAAGCAGTTAGCCAATTCGCTAGCGAGTTTGCAAATTGGCTGCCCCAATATTTCCGAGACTTCTGTAATAAGACACGACTGACGACGAGACATACAGTATGTATCATTTGTGACTGGAAAATTTGTAAAAAAAAATGACAGATTTGCCTAGTCAAGAGTCAAAATAAAATAATGTTATTGCATTCAGTAAAAATGAATAGATTCACTGTCAAAACAGCCATTGTGAATCACTAAATCACAGCCACAAAAGACATCAAAACTATGATATCACAGTTTTCTCAAAAGAAAAGACCAGAGAATTGACATATCCATTCACACAATCACCCGACACAGCAAGTTACATTTTCTGGTTGAATGGAAAGTCGGGAAACAGATGACGATCACTGTGCACACAGGATAAGTTGCGATCGGCAGTGTGCACAAAAATTTTCGCTGAAGCAAAACATTTTTGTTTCTTTGGGAATAGATTTACATTCTGGCAATCTCAATCATGTACTTCAACCAAATGAGCAAGACAAAGGTGTGATAAGCAAAAACGAAAGATTTTTAATCCACTAAAATCTCCCCTGTTCATCCTGGGGTTTTGTAGGTCCATGCTATTGCTAATAACAAAGATTTCTAAATCCTTGGTAATACCATGTGATAGAGGGACTGTGGTAATACCCCTGGTACCTATGTTTTGTGCAGTTTCCTTGTGGTGTGGAGCATGATGGGAGCCGCATTATTGATCTTTAACACTATTGGTTAGAAAATATGTTTCAATGGGATCCCTGTACATGATTATGAAAGTTGCGAACTCTTAGTTATAAATCCTTGATATCAGTGTATTTTTTGTATGTAAATACAATTGTAGAAATGTTACATGCTACAAATATATATATTTTTAAAATTCAAATGTTCAATCATGAGTTATTTGTCTCATCTTGGTAAATTAGTTTTGCCACACTGCGACTAAACTTATTCACAGGACTTGACGATTGACTTGTCATTGCCTTCTAATGAGCCCCCTGCTCCGTTGCCTATTTAGCCCGAATACAATACTTATAGCAAAAAATTGCATTTAATAAACTATTTTCTCTAAGCCCCCCCGGAAGAGCTATGTCATTAATACAATACTACTCATTCCCTATCTTTCTCTTGTAGGTTTCTGAGAACAATGTGGCCACTTATACTAGCCAGTGTCCGGACATATGCTCCATACGTTACCTTCCCGTTTGCGGTGGTCGTGGGAATCGTCGGCTATAACATTGAGAAATTTGTTCGCAAAAACAAACAATCACCACAAGTACACAGAGTTTTGGAGGAAAGAAATGACAGACAGCTTGATCAACAGTTGGGACAGGAAGATGCAACACAAGTGGCGTCACTGAAAGATTACAAACCGAAACCAGAATTTAAATTTGAAAAAACACTGAGAGCAGAGCGAGAATAACCTCAACAATGCTGCCGAGGATGATGACAATGTAGATGAACATGCGCTACAACATTGTAGTTACCAGTATAATGTGGTTCTGCACATTTTTAATTGGGAAGAGAACACATTATGTATTATCATCTCATTTGATCCAAGATTTGAGAACACAATTTATTAAATCATTTTTCAGAGTGACGAAAAAATTCATATAAACTTGATCCTCATTTGTGTGTTTGGAGGGTACTCTTTTTCTTATATCTGAATTAAAAAATCTTCCAAAAATCTTCCAAAAAGTATCAGAAATATTTGGGCAACAAGTTAGAAAATTTGCGGACATCTTTTGTTTTGACTTTGAATATGATATGGCATTAACTTACTCATTTACAAGTTAGTGGGCAAGCTCTCTACCTTTCTGCCTGAATACTTCTGAAAAATGCTGTATTTAAATAATGCTTTTACAGTAATGTGTGTGCTTATATCACCCCCCCCCCCTTCCAAAAAAAAATAAATAAAATTTGATCAATGAATGTGTTTATTTTGAAGTACAAATATACTTGCTAACTCGATCTGATTAAAATCTGGTGAAAGTATAGGCTCTGGTTGTTTTTAAAATATATATTAATCAGCATACAGGTACATTGCTTTTTACTACATCTGAATAATTATCTTTTGGGATTAGCAACCAATCAAATCTATGCATTCTAGTAAAGAGGTCCTTCAATTGGTAGATAAATCTCATCAGAGGAAGGTTGCCTGAATATAATAAAGGTAATTGGCAGTGTACACCAAAAACAGAAAATACAGTGACCGAAGCTTCTACTTGCATTGATTAATGAATCACATTCTGACGTCGTTACAGCCATGGAAACTTTCAGCAGGTGATGCTTTTTCAGATTGGCACCATCCAAAAAAACTAGTAAGGATACAGCAGTGAATTTATGTGAAAAATTAAAATTTTAAAATGGATGGCTTCTTACAAATTTTAAATGCAGGTGGTTGTTTTCCATAAAATATTATACCGGTACTGTAAATGGGTAATTATTCACCTAGTTTTAAACTGGAAAATGCGCTATTAAAATCCAGTGAATCTGTAAAATTGATAAATCTAAATGATAAAACCATGAATTTAAAAACCACTGAAAATATTAGTAATTTTACAGTATTTTGTGTTCTGAAATGCAACAATAAATACAATAAGCATGGTTCTAGTAACATGCGATCTGAAAGGATAGATTTCCTCTGCTCCATCACAAAAGGTTCTGCGGTTAGCTATGCTACCAAATACATTACTTGATTTGAAGACGAGTCATACTCTGATACGGTTTTGTCATCAAAACAATAGTATTTCATGTCTGGCGTTCCTCTTGAGAGAAGTCCTCTCACGTAGTCGTCTATATGGATAACTGTTCTCAATAAATTAAGCCCCCCCTCATAGTGACAAGTATTATGCTAATGCTTTCAAATGGAAAACTGTTCACACTCTCGAGTATTATACTAATGGACACTCGGGAGCCTAGCAACCAAATAACTTGGAAACACTGTGTAGTACCGGTACAAGTGTGATGTTCTAATCATCAACACGTGTGAAACATGCGAGAAATTTGTCTTTACGTGTATGCAACACAGACTTTTTTTTTTGGAATAAAATTATTTATCTATAAAAAAAAGGTTGTCAAGAACATTTTCTTTATTTGCACCAGTCAATGTTGTATTCCAGTCAACAGATATTTGCAGACACTCTTCTTTCATAATATTCAAGATAACCAGGTTTTTGACTGCTGTAGTCATTGCCACAGTAACGAGTCGACTGGTTATGAGAAATTTAGCGAGAATGTTCAGTTTTAGTTCTATTCAAGAATATAAACTACAATGGTGAAATTCATTAAAGGGCGATGATCGTCGTGCTGCGCAAGTGCGACATTTGTGTTGATAAACATTGATTTTCCCACAATCCAATGCGTTCTTCCAATGGAAGTCCCAAGTATGAGGTTTGACTTGCATTAATTACTGCCGGGGACTCCTTCGATACCTCCAATCATCTAAAAAAATACCTAATTAAAGCTTGGTAACGTCTCAGTTTGTACTCGTTGATCTGTGCAACAATCAAAGTCGCTTTCTTTTTTTTATATGAGACCCATATACCTTTTGTACAATAGGGATTTAAATCGTTTTGAAATTGAAAATCAGCTCAAACCTAATTTTATTTGGAACTTCAAACAAATTTGTTCTTCACATCTTTATCTTTACACATATCATAAACCATTGGCACTTACCGGTAAGAGAGTTCATGCCTATTTCAACTTTTGTACTACTGAGCATGTTACTGCTCATATATGCAATGCATTATGGAGAAGAACTTCCCATTGTATACTAGTGTAATGGGGAAACTATTATTACCGTGGAAACTTACTAAATAAAAGTAAATACAATATTAGGATTTGTATTAAATAATAATATATAACTTTTCAATCCCATGTCACTGAAAAAAATTTTGAGATGTGAAGAGTTAAATATCATTTTCATGACATTTCCGACTCTTGTATCTCAACAAATTTGCCAGTGATCCCAATTTTTTGTTTTCTCTTTCAGTATCTAATGTCTAGTTATTTACCATATTGGGTGTAACACAGTATCTGAAAACACTTAGTCTGAAATGATTGACCAAATTCAGGACATTTTGAAAAAAATACCAGCAAATTGCTGATGTCCAGAGAGCGTCTGAATCATTGCCTTCGATTCTTCTGTGCAATAGGGCAATGTTAAATTACTGTATATAAAACTGGATGTACCGCATTAGATATCAAAACTGTATTTAAAAATCATCATCATCATCATCATCTTCATCTTTATTTTCATCTTGTTTAAAGCCTTTCTCAACGCTAATTTTCATATGTCCTAGACATACGTAACAGTTCTTTCCAAGAAGCTTACTACTGAAATACTTCTCAATGTATGCTTCTGCTTTCCTGTCAACAAACAGTTCATCTGTGTTAAACTGTAAATCTTCACAACAGAGGGAGCAGTTGTCTTCATTAGTCTTCATCACATTCTTGATGCACGTTTCTTTGTTCCTTCCGTGGTCTATGATTGTGACTGCTAAAAAATGTGGTTTCTCATCAAAGCAGCATTCGTGATAATGTCCCCTTGGTACCTTGGTTGTTATGCCAACCAATCCATACTGTTGCTTCTCAGCAGTGATGAGAATTCCCTGAAAGCCGCTACCATCCTCCAAGAGGCAAAGACTTGCGATTCCTTCTATTGTTTCAGCCATTTTACTGCATCAGACTACAATAATACAGATATATTATGGTAACATTAAAGATTGTTATAAAATGCAAAGTTGAGTATTGAGATTTCTTTTCAAATTATTTCCAGAACGCAGTGATACACTCAGATAGCCCAGTAAACAACGGTGATTGCAGTAGGATGTGTATACTAAAGATTGTAAAAGTCACAAATGAAATATTCGTCATAAAAACTTCTACTAAATAGAGACAGAATAGCATATATATATATACATGTATATATAGACTGGGGGGGGGGGGGGTTACTGGCTTCAATACAATCTGGGTTAACATGGCCGGTCAGAAGATTTTTTTTTTTTGTGGCAACAAGCATGACATTTTTGACAAATTAGACCATATACTAGTAGTAGTATTATATATACTAATACTATGTCTCATCTGTGTAAGAACATTATTGTAACTACTCACATTGTTTATATCTGGTATGGTTTAAGAAAATGTGTAGTTCATATTTGATTTAGTGTATTTCGAGTCGCCCTCGTGTGTAAACTTTACGAACAGCTGATCATACTAGCTATTTACGCCCTCTACGTTAATATCGGTGACTACTTTGTTTTGATGTCCCTGCGGGTGAAGCGTTTGCGCAAGCGCTGAAACGTTCTGGTCGGCCATCTTTCTATCAGAGAAAGAAGCTGAGGGTGTAAGTTTTGTTGTCCTGGTTATTCGCACGAAAGTGTTTGAGCGGAGCTGTTAACACCCAAATTATAAGGCATTTGTCCAACGGAAAATACACCTGCGGATAAGGTGTTACAGGTAAGTGCTTATATTGGCGAATTAACTATTTATTACCATTTTTACTCGCCGTATTTTTGACCCCTGGAATATTTTAGGGTCAAGCACGTAATTTCATGTGTTGTTTCTTTTTATAGTGTGTACGTTGGAATCTATCAATTTGTAATAATATCATTACATAATACTAATAATATTGAATTTTATAATAAATACAGTCAGCCAATGATAATGCAACATTGTTTCACCAGGATAGAAACTACTATAAAGATTCATTTAGTATTTACTAGTAGCTTCGCCATGTTTGGCTTTCGTATTCATCAGCTTTTGCAGTGAGTAGAGTTTTTTCGCAGTAACTGGTAAATTAGGCGGAATTGAGAATTTATGTTTTATGTGTCATTAACAACTGGTGTTAATCTGGGAAAACCATCCTTAAGAGCTGTTAATTTGTCCTTGTGATTTGTGAAGTTGCTCTGGAGTTCCTAAATATGACCCATGCTCTGATATTGCCCCCCCCCCCCCCCCCTCTAGCTTTTATCTTTGACCAAGAAACATTCGACCATTTATAAAATGGCCTTTGCATCGTGCATTTGCATAATAATTCTTCTGGTTCCTTGATCCACAGACATGATTAGTTTTATGTTGAAAAACATACATATTTATCCAATTATTTTTAGCCCATTTTTGATATCTCAATAAATTGAATTTGTCACAAAGGTGCTCTAGAATTACTTAGACTGAAAACCACAGACGTAAAATCAAATGTACTTTCTGTAAGTATTATAAACTTCTATATTGGGGTTCACATAATTTTCATGTTGTGCATCTCAAATAGCACACAAATATTAGTTGCCAAGCTTCTTGTTTGAAAGGCTAATTTAAAATTTTGAATTAAGGTAGGGAGAAGGGAAATTTCAATTTTTTCCTAGATTTTTTAAAAATTGATAAAATGGTTACTTAAATTAGTGTTTTAAACGCTGTCGCAAATACCTATAACTGCCGTTTCGTGGATATTCGCATAATGTTTTTCTGTTGTTGACATAGAAAAATCTGAGACTCGGTGACACAGGGTCATTTTATGACCAACCCCGCAAGTGGTTTGAAAGAGACGTTAAACTATCCGCTTCCTTGAAGATTTGAAACAACTAAACCGATGGCGACACTGATACATCAGACAAGGAATAGAGTACAGGAAATCTGTTGCTTGTCAATATCAGACAAATCATGTTAGTACGTCCATGGCCAAATGAACAAAGTCATCGTTTCCGTTTACGCAGAGATAGTGTGCCCATCTAATTTTCTGTGTTAGTTGTTTAAATCAATTCACACAGCTTTATGTTTTTTCTCTACAAAATAATTTTAATAACACAAAGTTGATTGCCTGGATACACGAGTTAGACCCATTCTACGCTTTGTTTAGAATTCAAAGTAATGAACGTAGTCATAACAAATTGTACTTGCTAATTGCGACGACAGAACGCAACATCGATATAGCATAGTCAAAAACAACGTTTTAATTGAAAAATGTAATCTGAATACTAATTTTGCGTAACAAACTTGGTAATCCTTGTGACGAAGCTGTAACTGGGTGATGCTTGCCCATCATTGAATTTCTTTCACCAATAATTCATGAGCAGTAACTAAAGAAGGGACTGTTTTCTTGTGATTTCTACGGCGTCTAGCTATGGTTTTCTTGTCGCAGCAAATTGTTTTTTCGATCATCGGACATTTTGTTTCACCGTGATAATAGTGTTCTTGTTTGTAAACAGTCAGCATGTACAGTGGGACAGTAATGTTTGTCAGAGGATTATCCCTCGTGCGTTTGCATAACAATGGAAGCCATGTCTCTCGAATGGTACAGCAGTACGGGACTAAGCCATTTTCTTCAATTTTCAGACTTTATTAACGAAATTATTCATTATCTGATATGCTTAATGGGTTCTATGATATTAGTGGTTAATAAGTTTGGCCATTCTTCGTGTATGTTTATAATAATGCAGCAAATCTGTATTGTTTTACTATCCAAAACTGTTTTTCGCGAGTTTAAGGTTTGATTCAGTACGGCTCATTGGGACCATCGTCAAATCAAGTGCGTTCGGGCTATGACATTCTACTCGCACTTATCGTGCAAAATATGTCTGGGTTTTTTAAGAAAATGCTTTGTCACCGAATAATAGTCTGTTGAAGGTGTCAAGCATGAAATAATCAGGGGACAAAAAAACAAACCCTCTAGAAATAGGGGAAAAATAGGTCTTTTGATTACTGGGGACTCATTTCAATGGACTTGATTACGGACAATGCATGACGTAAATTTTAGCTGGAAATTCCACAGTGAGCTCTACCAATCACGGATTTAGTCATTTTTACAAGGTTCGCCATTTGTGTTGTCATGTGTTACTTATGTAAACAATGATTATCCAGTTTGTGCGAACTTATCCCTCTACTTAGGTTTCTGAATCATATATGCTAAATTACGGATCTGAATGAAACGACAGACAGACAGAGAATGCTATGTGATCGTTAGGATCTTTAACCTAATTGTATATTCCAATTATTTATCTGTTTCAGTCATGGTTTTGCAGTTAATTGGAAGATGGTGGTGGGTGACAGTCACACCAGCCTTCATAGCACTTGGGTATTACCTAGACAAGCGGTCAGACAACAACTACAGCCGATTCAAGAACAAATCAGTCCTGTATAGAAGAGAGCTGCAGCCTGGTGAAAAAGATCCATGGACATAAACACTGTAATTTCATTCACTTATGAAAGCCTGTGTGATGTTTTAGAAACAAGCATGCTACTTTGGAAGATTGAAGAATTTCTACACTTGTAGACTGAAAATGTTGATGTACAGTACTCTAGCGGAAATTGAAAAACATGTAGAAGACTTGTTTTCAGAATTATTTTACTTTATTTTGTGTTCACACTGTAATCAGCATAACATAATTAAAGCTTAGTTATTTACAGAAAAATATACAGTCTTAATTGGTGTTCTGCTTCAATTAAAGTAAATATACATAGTAAATGATTTGCACTCTATTTTACAAAAGCATCACGATTATTTCCTTTTTCGGGAAACTCCAAAACCAGCAAATTTAAATTTAGATGGATGAGATAGTAGTACACTAACAACGTCACAGAAAGAGTAAAGCGGTCTTTCCTTTGAATTAAAAAAGTTTAAATTAATGTGATAAAACCCTGTGCTTTAACGCATTCCGAGAAGTTTTCTGCTTTTTATTCTTGAGGTGAGTTCAGCATTCCTTAATTCAATGCCACGTAATTTTGCTTTGTGAAGCCTGTCCCTTAGTTCCTTCATTTTGATGGCATCATCAATATTGCTTGGACAAGTGGTCTGTTCATTTTCTTTGCCTTGCAAGGGACATTTTTTCTTCAATTTGGTGCTCTCCTCTAATGTGAATTGTGGGAACACATCTTCTGGAGCACCTGTAAGTAGTAAGGTATTGTTCAGTGGGTGACACTCTTATATTAATGGAAATTGATTTGCGTGGTCAATCTGGTAGAGGTTTTGGTACAAAGCCGTTTGAATCTAGCAATGTAATTAGTCAGGCGATTGTAATTTTTTAAATAACCAGATGTCAGACTGCAGACTGTTGCCCTTCAGTGTAGTGAATGTATATGATGGGTCATAATGTTTGGTCACACTGAATAATTACAAAGGACAAAAAGTACCTGCTACTATTTACTATAAAGTATGCACCAAACATTAATTTTGCTTTGTTGGCACCAACTAATCGCTTGATCAGTAACATAGCAACCAGGGATTCTATTCATAATGTAAGTATTGCCCTTTTATTTTCTAGGCCAATGCAAATTCAGGAGGATTACCATATCTTATTTGGAAATTAAAATTTATTGACAAAACATGATAGGTTTTCTTTTACTAAAAAATACATGCACTTGAATAAATACATAATATTGCAGATGTGAACAAATTAGATCACGTTAAATAAAGACATGGATATTAAAATGAAGTATTCAGAGCTGCTCGATAAACCAACTTGTGGTACATTGGATTTTCGAATACAGTATTGCACTAAACTAGAATCCATGCCATCTAAACCTTGGTTCTATCATTCTCTTTGCCTAGCCTTTCATGCTGTCTATATTTCTTGTATTTTAGAGGAGCTCTACCTGTTTCAGTTTTGATTTCCTGTATTCTTGTATTGATTTTAAGGCCATTCATCTCTTTCATCAAGCTTTCAGCCCTGAAATAAAAAAAATAAAAAACAGTACAATGTTAGAATTTTTAAAAAATAGTATATTTTTCACTCAAAAGCAATTTCAAGAAATATAGGCTGAAGCCCAAGTTATATGCAGGCTAAACTCTTCTTCGATACAATTCAGACTTTGGAGGACTTTATACAGCAGGAGAGCCCAAATAGGAGTTTTTTTTTTCCATCCCATATACATTTTGGGAAGTCTCGTACTTTTGAAGGCATTTAATGTGAATCCTGCCAACACTCCATCACAAATTTCACTCTTGGGAGGAAAAAGACACTGTTCTTTTGTTGAGACAGTGTTTAATAGTCCGGTTCCTATTGAAGATCATATTGTGTTCAACCAAACTGTTCCATCATTCATTTTTACGATAGAAAAGTTTGTTAAAGGTTAACACTATTCTTTGCAGTCAGTGTGCGTGTGTGTGTGTGCAAGTGTCTGTTTGAACCACTTATTGGATTTGTTTTTGGTTGAAATCTGTGCATTTTTAGCTGTTCCAAGACTGTTCCACTGATATCTAAAGAACTGCTTTTATTGGATTTTGATGAAACCCATGCATATTTATTGCCAAGCTTCTTGTTTGAAAGGCTAATCTTAAATGTTTAATTAATTTTTTAAAAACTAAACTTTCTTAGATCGGATTATGCTATAAAAGCCAAAGAACTGTTACTACCCAATCCATATTGTATACATAAGAGTAGCACAATGAGTCTTGTATCAATGTGACAAGTCTCTGGCTTTTTTTGACAATTTTTCTACATGTTATTCTAGTTGTGTACATATTAAGGGCACAAGTATGAGTTGGTAGCACAACATTTAGTGTAGCCCTGCAATGGAACATTCTGATTGATCGAGAAAATAATTAGATTTCAATCAGTGTAGTGATCTTTGCTATACAGTCGGGCTGTCGGCAGGTTTAAAGTAAAGTTGCTCTTGCGGTAGTAGTTCATTATTTTCAGTAGTTGCCAACATTTTGCCTAAATTGTCACACCTCACAAATAAATCATGACCGTTTGACAAAAAGCATGTGCATAATATAATTAGGTTTGTTATCTGAGAAAACAGAATGTCAAAATCTCATTAATTTACTAACCTGGCTAGTTTTTCATCTGCCATCTTCTCTTTTTTGAGCAGTTCTCTCTCCTTTCTTTCCAGTTCCTTCTCCTTCTCTTCCACCTGCTTTTCTCGTGCTTGTAGAGCCTCTTCTTTCCTTTTCAGCGAGTTGCTTAACTCTAGACTACTACTTTCTCGTTTTCGTGATGACAGACACGGCATTTTAAGAAGATCTTCTATACTTGGTCTGAGAATATCCTGTAATTAAAAGTGACATAAATAGGTGATTTTCTATTCACTGCGAGATCTCATGTAAAGCATGAAAGAAGCCGTTTGAACGTCTGTCGCAAAAACAAGGAATAATGCGTTGAGATATTTTTACTTTAAAATCTACTGTCATCACATTATGAAGCACTTTATCAAGCATATCTAAAAAATATTTTCATATTTGACGAATCTGATGTTTTAGCCCCATCACTATGCTATGACCTTCTTCTTGTTTTTACATTCAATTTCATACATAACATAGATCTCGCAGTAATCAAAAATGGTTTATTTCTGTAAAAGGCTGCTATCATCATTTTTCAGTTTCATAAATGTTCACTAACTGCATTTTCACAGCAACAAATTATCTCGCCCTCACAAAAAATAAAATCACCAAATAACAGTTTGGAAAATATCAAAATCAATAAAGCATATTTTTCCAGAAGCAGTTTTATGTTGATCACAAACTCTAATTTAGACCTATTATTTGAATCCAAAATCATACACTTCATTCAATATTCATTCTAAAGATTAACAATTGTTCACTTAATTTAAATGCTAAAGAAAGACCGATGTGATCTATAGAATGGTTACATTATACTCACATTAATTTTCAACATGCTTGCAATGATTTCCGACAAATCATCTGAATACTGAGAGGGTATACGACGAAACTTTCCTTCTCGTATTTTCTCTGAGAGGCCCCTCTGATTCAAAGCAGTAAATGGTGGGCTGGAAGAAAGAATAAATACAATTAAGATAAACGTGTTTTCAAGTTCAAATTTAATACTGCGGGTCGCTGAAATGAATCTTTGTGAATTACTGCACACAGACACACAATTCAAATGTATTTGCTAAAAAGTTTCAAACGTACAATCCAAAGTCCAAACGATTGACATCATTCATGCAAAATCAGATCATCAAATATTTCACACAATTGAGATTTCAATAAAGCTAGAGGAATGCTCTCATAATGCATCTTTAATTAATAAATTAAGAATGGTATATTCTGTGGTATTACAGATTGGGAGGATAGCCAGACGAGACACTTGAGCATTCCTCATACTACGGTTACCAGTAAAAAGTGTGGCATAAATTAAATTTCATATCAGATAATTTTACTGAACATTTAGAAATTGTCACCCGGTCAAGTATTACTATCAGCAGTACAATCTGATGCAAGATGTTTATTGTATTTAATTACTACATGTATTTACGAGTTACTCTGGAAGAGACAAGCTACATGTAAGAGAGCTGGTGGCCATGGCATGTATTTTTGAAAACTAACTTACCTTAGAGCACAAAGTTCATAAAGAAGACATCCTAAAGACCATATGTCTGACTTCTCATTGTACGATAAATAGTTGACTTGTTCCTATAATAGACAGAGACAGTGTAAGAGTTGACACATGCTGCAGGGATCCTGCGTACCATAAAGTGGTTGTAAGAATTGCCTAAATTACTAGTACAGTTAGAAGGATAACATTTATTATTATACATCTGTCACCATAAGTTACAGCGTATTGTAATTTTGCGTTTTTTTACAGGGTATTTTCATCTTACCATATATGGAAATGCGAATTCCAAATATGGAATGATTATGCGCATAAGTGTCCTCTAATAATAAAAACAAACATGGCTGCAAACAGGGTTTGACCGAACTTCACACAATAAAGTTCGCTGATTCTGTTCTAAATTTTTGGGTTTCGGCATTCCCATGATGTATCCTTATAAGGAAAAGATGTATAATAATAAGGTAGTTATACCTCAAACTATGCACTCAGACAGTATGCCCTGCATTGACCTATGCTGCGAGTCGGGCGATACTCCACCTGTACAGTCTTCGTGCATTTGAGATATTCTCCCAATAACCTCATGATATGCTCCACATGTAAAACATTTGAGCGGAAAAAGATCTAAATCTACTGGTACAAAAATCTGTATGATTTTATCATTACATTTTGAATTATACAAAAAACTTAGCTTCATTGTAGAGATTAAAAACAGCTGCTAAGACATGCACCAATAAGAATTGAGAGGGTTACATGATGTTGATATAACGGACTCCGAGTTTTCTTGAGAATTTATTAGAAAAACTTGTACATGGGTGACACAAAGGTTGTTCAAAATGTTGATATCAATTTGAAGATTATGTTTTTGAAAGATTTTTCTTTTCTAGATGACAAACAACTACACAACTAAACCTAGCTTTTACTCATATACGTCATTTTGACTTCACAAAAATACTTCATCGCTAGAAGGCGTGACTTGGTGTATTAGGGGGGAGTAGCACAGACATACAAAAAAAATACAGATACTTACTGGTGACATGTAATATGGTGTGCCTACAAATGTCTTTGCAAAACTGTGGTCATGGTTGAGGACTCTTGCAAGACCAAAATCCCCAAGTTTCACATTATGATCAGCATCGAGGAATACATTTGCTGGTTTGAGATCTCTGTGAAGGATGGCTCGTCCCGCATCACGTCGATGGCATTCTTGAAGAGCTAATGTCAGCTGCAGGAATATGTTCCAAATGAAAGCTTCTTCAAGATATTTCCTATCGATATACAGAAAAGACAAAGGTTTAAAAAGTGAAACCAAAAATTATAAATCAATGAATGCAGCTCCAGTATTTAGGGCTCAGTACACCTAACACTTTGAGCGCTAAATTTCCTGCTTAAATTTGGGTAAATTTGTTCACATTTTGTGTAATTTTCACTGAATTCAATCATAATTTTGGACCAGACAAAAGGTGATGTTACTTCGAGTTTTTGATCATAAAATTTGAAATTTTCCCAACATTTTACGGGAAAAAGAGGAAATTATAAATAGAACCTATTTTGAGCATATACATGAAGATTACTGTGACTCGCAACCTGTAAATATACGATACCAGAAGTGATCATTTATTGAACTAAGGCCAGACTTTTATTATCCCTTGTTTCGCGAACCCGCCGAGTGAACAGGAGCCGAAAATGAAATAAAAATAAAATTTTATTTCTGCGTAATTTCTCGCGCCCGCCGACTTGTGAGTGCAAAAAAATGACAAAAATATTATTTTTATCTTCATTTTTTCCCGCCCGCCGCCAAACAAATCAAAGTTGCATGTTCATGGGAGTATCATGATGAAAGTACCAGGGGCTCGCGCAGAGCTATACTTTGTGGCCTTTAAATGCACGTTGGTTGACAGTGGTTTAATGTGGTGACACGCCGTGAAACTCTGTCGTCAAAAATCGAGAAATCCCTCATTAATGCTGAAAATTGTGCCACAATTGGGGACATTGTCAACCACGTTATACATGGAATAACATTTTATTTCATTTTTTCTCTCCACCGTCTAGCCTAAACAGGTTCAGATGAACAAAACTATATGTATAGTAAAATGGTCAAATTTGATGGAAGGAAATTTAAAAGCCCAGTCGATGAAACAGAAATATAAACAGGGGGTTCAAATTAGATATGTAGTCTTAGACAATCACTTTTGTCAAGGGGCAACTAATGAAACCTGGTTGACCATTCAGGCAAATCACTATTAACACACCACTAGCCGTTGAGTTTTTACATTCATTTTGTCAATGTATTAACAATGTAGTATTATCATAAGATATATAGTAGATAATATTTGGTAATCAATGTCTTAAGGTAGAGATGCAGTTTATTTGGCTTGCTTTTTAATTGAGTAATTAGACAATGAAGATGGTATTATATATCCAACATGTTATATATTTTCTGAAAGCTTATTATACAAACTTTGTAAAACTTGCCTTTATTTTAAATATCCAGAATGCGTTTTTGATTTTGGGTCAAAAATATGCTTTTTTGGACAAAAGTGGTTTAAAAAAAATTAGCTTAAAAACTTCAAGTCCATCTGTGGGTAAAATTACATCACTGGATACCTTGGTATACTACTAATTCAAATGCGTCCACTCATCTCTCTAACGACTTTCAAAGTCGCACAGCATGACCTCAAAGTTCACTCTTTTCTATTTTTGCATAATTTATATATCCATGTTAATTGCGGACTTGTTATTTTTGCTCCACTCGCCGTAATATACTGTCCGGACGCATTTTGAAGGGGAAAAACCTTGTCAATAATGTGTGAAAATTTCGAGGCAAATGGCCAAAGCGTCTATCAACTATTTTAATTTGAAACCCAAGAATTCACCAAAAATAGAAGACGAGAAAAAGGCTAATTTGCATATTTGCGCGTTAAACCGGGAATTACTGCTTTGTCATACTTTCTAGACTATTGAAATTGAAAGTTGACGTATAGACATAGCCATTTTATGTAAAAT